TGATAGCAAATAACTTGCAAATCGTTTATTCAGATTTAGGAATACATAACTCTGTCCACATGGAACACAAGTCATCTTTATGGTCAAGGTGAGGGTACATGGTCTCATCAAAGGCACAATCCATCTCTACCAGCAATATTAATCTGATCTGTTCACCATAGCAAGGAGGTGTATGAGGTGTTTTGTATTAGCACACTATTTTCAGTTACAATGGCAATGTGTGGGACAACAGACACATTACTTAGAATTGCTGAATAGGGTGGGCGTATTTTGATCAAAACCTCCATTGAAATGTAGGCAAACTGAAATAAATGACCCAACCTACTAGTATATACAAACGCTGCGCATGCCTTTAACCAGTTCAGGTCTTGATTGCTGTACCTGTCACACAAACTGATGTACTGATGCAACATCTATCAACAGTCAATCTTCCCGCTTGAAAAAAAGACAAGCATATCCAGATGTAGCAGCTAGTACTCCTGATGGCCTACAGTGACAACATGAAGTCAGTGACAAATGAACTTGGTCATTTTGTGGCAAATTATGGACCAGAACCTATTTCCTCTGCATCTGAACAATACCATTTATGTGTTAATTTGGAAAACTAATTGCATACAAGACATACAGCATTACATAACACAGATCTAGGCATTGAACTTAAAACACAGATAATCTCTCCCAGGCACTGCACTCTACAGCAAAATGCATGGATGTCTATTGGTGCAAAAAATTGTGCTGGACGTCTGTGATGAACTGTAAACAGTGAACTGTGAACAGAAAACCATGCAAAATTATCTCAACATTTCTTCCTCTTCTCACAGCAAGCAACTCCACCTACTTAGGGCCCCTTTACAGTGGACGGCGTCTATTCTGCGTCCTTTGTGCGACCATGAAACTGGCCAGGACGCCGTCGGACGCTCAAAGAACGCACAGTGATCGCCAAGGTCGCACAAAGAACGTTCAAGCATCACCGAGGACGCCATGGACGCCGCAAAGTTTTGAGCATGTTCAAAACAATCGCAGAGAGAACGCGATGTAGGATGGTCGCTCAATGGACGCAGAAAGGACGCACAGGCATCGCCGTAGTCGCAGAGAGAACGCACAAGCATCGCCGCGGTCGCAGAGAGGACGCACAAGCATCGCCGCGGTCGTAGAAAGGAGGCACAAGCATCGCTTTGGTTGCAGAATGAAAACTCAAAGATCGTCCAGTGTTCGACACGTAGAACGTTATCTTTTTTCACTCTCAAACGGGGCCGTGCTGAGGTATTTTGCACCAGAGAGGAATTCTAAGGGTAACAGTGGTCTCATATCAGCCTCCGATTGTTTTTTCCCCTAAAATTCATGAAACGATCCATTTTTTGAGGTTATTATTAAACGAATATTTTGCCTTTTTTACAAGATTAATTGTCAGAACTTTTTGCAGAATGCTTCATTTGAAAACAGATTCAAACATTCTATATGTTGTGTCAGTCATACTTTCTCGTTTTCGGTCCCTGTCCATCCTTCTTATAAAGATAACAATGAGCATCTGGCTGCTTATCAGTCCATGCAGACCTTGCATCACTATAGTTTAAAGCGTTTATTCCCATTTATTTGTTTTGTGTGCTGGAAATGTTCTTTATTGGATGACCTGGTTAGAACCGATGAAAAGATGAGTTAGAATATAGAGAAGGACGCCCAAATAATGCTCATCGGTCAAGCAGGATGCAGAATGATCGTAGAATAGACGCCACTGATCACCGATGAAGGTACAGAGAACGCAGCAAGAATGCTCAATGGTCTCTCAAACATCGCAATGGACGCCTTGGGTTGCACAGGGGACGTACAGTGGAGGCAGGCAGGTTGCTTGCAGTTTTACAGGTAAAATCAAGATACGGTCGTTCAAAGGACGCACAAGGGACGCAGACGCCTTTACACTGAGACACGATTTAATTGCTTTGGCGACCGTTGAGCGTCCTGACCACATTTTTGAACGCAGAAGGGACGCAGAAAGGACGCCGTCCAGTGTAAAGGGGGTTTTACTGTACTGTACAGGCTTATTACTTATTCTGTCTGCGTTTATCTGTCTGGCAAACAAGTCACATGGTACAGAGAAGTTTTCCTGAAACTGTGCACAATCCCTCTTGGGTTACGTCCCTTTAAGTCCCCAGGCTGTTATTCCTCCTCTGTGTTACTCCCTACACCGCTACTCACCTGCACAAATGCCTCTGCATCATTCATTACACTAGTAAGTCCATACTCCCCGACATCTTTACTCCAAGGCACTGTAACTCCCGCTATGGTTAAAATAATATGTTCAAAATGCAATTCTTAAATCAAAAACCTTAAGATGTTTTTTCTTTAAAGTAAATGCCTCTCTGGGACCCAGAAGTGGCATTCTTGGAAATGTTGAGAGAAAACTAGGGAGATAGTCACAAAAATCAGGTGCTTTATTCGGATACACTGGCCTTCATAGTTTAACTAGAAATGCTGTCACAAAGGTGATTACATGATTACATGGTCCAGGCCTACCCAACTACCAGATGCAGCACTGAATGATCCAGAATTCACCATAGATAGGATTGTGCTACCGGTCATCCTTCAGCAACACATCTGGTAGTTGGATAGGCCTTGATGGTCCATATCTAACTGAAACAAAGTAGTGCACAGCAAGATAGCAGAATTGATTTGCTGATATTGTATTTTTTTGTTGTTAATGCAGCAAAATTTTTAAAAACTACTTGTTGATCAAAAGAAAAAAATCTGTTAACGTGTCAATATGTGGGGTAGGGGATACTGCAGGCTTATCCTTTTCCTTAGCTTGAGAATTACCCCTTTGCTTTTCATGACAAAAAATTTGCAAGAGGCAAAACCATATGCACACACTTATAATAATAATAATAATAATAATAATAATAATAATAATAATAATAATAAAAAAAAAATAATAATAATAATAATAATAATAAAATAAATACAGTAGGCAAAAAATCTATAATATGTATGGAAAAGTACACTGAGAATATTTTAATCCTTGTGCCCTACCTCTAGCAAAATCATGAATCAACCAGAGCTCAAAGCTAAGTTTTAAGAATGATAACAGCCACAAGTTTCAGTCTGATTGGTTTTGTTTTAATTCTATTGAGAACTGACATTTAACTGTCAGTGTACAGAGACTGTGGCTTGAAATTGATTAGAACTGCCCAAAGCTCAATTAGTCTGATTAGGTAACGGGTTGAGCCCCGAGAAATTGAAGCATTTATATGTCTGCTGTTTTGTTGATTGTGTTTTTAATATGTGACACAAACAACAGTGTGTTATGATTTTAGCTAGGATGTTAGTGCCATCTTTAAATGATAATAGCTTGTGACTGTAAAACCAGTTATCATGTCATTTTTCTTTCCTTTTGAATTTTTACTAAGAGGGATTTATTTGTGAGAGAAGGCAAAAAACTCAGCATGTTTGGTTAATTTTCAAAGAAGTGATTGGGATGTTTTGCAGTCTTGTTTACTATTAGGCTATTCACACTAGCATTTTCGACCACGGTCAAGGCCTGACCTCGGTCCTATCTCGGTTAACTTTTCTAATGTGAACAGATGACGTAGCCCTGACTGCGGTCGAAATGAACCCAGATCGGGAGGTGGGTATGATCGGAGTAAATTCCTGACAGCGGTCAAGACTGGATGTCTACATATGAGCTCCTGCCATGTTGCACAGATTCTAGTAAAAGCGCATGGTTGACAGGAAGTACACTTGCTGAGATTCTACCGCTACTGATCGCTGCTGGTGTAGGTGTGAACGTGGTTTGGACGCGGTTTGGTTGACCGTGGTTTAATCGGAGTAAACTCGACCGCGGTTAACGTTCTAATGTGAATGGCCTATATGTCTCCTTTTTACTGTTCTGTGTGACGGGTATTTTTTCATGTTGAAATTGTCCAAAAGTCCCATCTTGTTTTAGATTACTAGGAGTGATCTATTTGAATATAGTTACACATTTTAGGTTTCTGTTTTCTCCTGTAGTTTAATTAAGTGAATATAGTTTCAGAAAAATGCAAAATTAAGTGCTGCACCTGGATGCATGCTTTTAGATTGAGAACTATTGTGTAAGAGAAGCTGTCAAATTTTGAAAGGGAAATATACACTGTTCATGAAGTCAGTCACTGTTAAACATTGCAGATTTTAATTTTTTTCTGTTTCCTGGAATGCCCCAGTTTGTGTTAAAATGGAACAATGGGAATGACATTTTTCTGTTAAATGTCTTAGTTTGCCAGCTCTGCAGTCTAGTTTTGGAGGTTTTCTAGATACACTATTCATTTTATTGAGTCAACTTCCAAAGACTCCTGTACCGTGGCCCGCACTATTTTCAAAATCTGTTAAGATGGCTGACTAGTGAGGTTGGGAGGGAGAACGATGAATATGATTATTTTTTTGTGGTATTAATAAAGGTCATTTATCTGTCATTTCATGTTTCCAAAATTTAAATTGCCCTCCGATAAGTTCGACAAGAAGTGATCCATGCACTTAGAATGTGTTTAAAATCCTACATGGGATGTACCTTTAAGCAAGGATAAATAAGTCCTGTTAAACCAACACCAGCTGTCTATCATAGCTCAGTGGTTATTGCTCTGTTTTACATAGCAAAACACTTAAAAAAACTTGCATTTCAGTTGAATTGTGTGGTATCAGTAACAGTGAGACTAACTGACGTCTTTATCACCTATTAAAATTCCAACGCACAGTGTGCCCATGCTTCAATGAACATTTCATGTTTCAAAAAAATTTTTTGGGTTTCTTTTTTTCTGTTAGCTTTGTGTAAGTACATCTCTTTTCAGAGTCTACTGACTTTTTGTAATCTCAGTAATCGTTCATTTCTGAACATTGTTTCCTACATCTTTTTGTTGATGGCAGTTACAAATCACGCAGCAGTTACTTCTGCTTTCTAATGCACTAAACCAAAATATTTTACCAATTGTATTTGATACTCTACCGTTTTATTTCATTGTTTGATTTTTTTTTTGTAGAATGTAGATACCAGAAAGAAAACTAACCAAGATAATGATGTGGAGAGTGCCCATGAACAGTATAAAAAGGTATGTCATAACAAATTGTATCTAGTTTTCCATCCAAATATGTTTTGGCAGTATACAGTCAGTGCAGTGGAGATTGTCTAAAAAGTTTGTTATACTGGATACAGTGCAAATAACCAGACGTCACTGATGCTTATTATTATATCGCTTTCAAAGGTCGTGATGTAACATCATAAGTTGATTGCTTATATTCACCTTTCTTTGTACAAATATCATTTGAGACTTCAAGATGGACATTGTAACAGTTTGTTTCTACAGGGACCCATTTCAGTTTTTTTTAATGTATGCTTGTTCATTTTGACTTTATGTTCTTGAGACATTGTCATTTTGGTTTTGTGGTGCACATTTTAGGTTTCTGTTTTCTCCTGTAGTTTAATTAAGTGACATTTTCTTTGGTGTCAAGATAACATCACATAATGATTGCAATAGGTGTTTTGTAGAGCTCTTTGTTGTCTCAGAAGGTTGAATTATTTTATAATTTGAAGTTTTCATTGGACTGACAATCCACTGGCAAAACAAGTGGGTAATTATGCCCTCAATTTCCTGCTATTAATGCTGATGCAGATACTACAAACTGGTGACCTTTAAACAGCTTCCAGCTTGAAGTGGAATTAGATTTGAAGTTGCAGTGATTCATGTTTGAATTATGAGAAAAGGTTAAGGAAGAGAAAACAGGGGTGAATGCACACAAACATTGTCAGCATTATCATGTATGAATGCTTTCCCTTTTTTATTGGATATATTGAAAGGAATGCACAGATGCAGAAGAAGTTACTTTATGATTCAGAACATGTTTTTGTGCTAACTTGGATCGTTTTAGTTACGTGTCTTTATGTTAATAAATAGATTTTTTTTTGTAATTTTTATAAAATGAAAATTCCAGTTATGTGACTTGCATTGGTTGAATACCGTATTTCCAGTGATATCGCTTACAGAAGGGCATATTCTATTCATCCCTTTCTTTCTCAAATGATATGATTCATAATTTCCACTTGGCCTCTAAAGGATGCTGTTTATTTGCTACTTCCTGTTTCTTTGCAACTGCATTGTCTATAATATCCAGGCTTAATTTTTGCATATGCAATATACAATTGTCTCCGTTGAATTCAAAGAAAAATTCAGAAGCATTTGTCTGTGCTGTTTCATTTTAAATAAACTGCGAGGTAAGGGGATCTTGATGGCATGTGCAGTTCTGTGCAAAGACCCAGCTGGAGTTGGCTGTAATGGGAAGATTAAAATACAGACATAGCTACAAATGTACAGTTTCTTGCTTCTGTTCCCATTGTACTTTTTCAATATGGAATTGCTTGACACCTGATGATTGCTTGACATTTGATTAATGTATTCCAGATATTCTTAAGAGAAAAAGCATTTTACAAGTACTGTTAAAACATCAGGCATACTACACGTAACTTGTTTTTATATGTTAAAATGTACTAATGGCATTTTTGGATCCACTGTTACATTTATTTATCAAGGAGCATAACCTAATATTTTTAATCTTTTTCCTTAAAGCTAGTGGCATAACTCAATTTCATCTTATGATGTTCAATGTTTAGTGTAGTTTTATGGTTAAATTGAACCACTTAATCACCACAAAATTCAGTCAAGATGTAAAATAAAATTCAGTCAAGATGGGAAAGAATATGTTTTGTTTGTGATCACAACCTCAAGGAAATGCAATACATGCCAATCATGATGAAGAAAACCTAGATATCTTACAATTAAATTCTTTTGTTTTTCGAATATTAAATGTAAAACTTTTAAGGAGCTTTTTTTAATTTGAAAAGTAAATAAATACAGTGTGGTTACAACTGAGGTGGTTTCATATTTTGATTGTTGCATTTTTTGTGGTTAATTTCCTAACATGTGTTTTCTCTCTTGGCTGCTCTGCAGTGTAGTGTTAAGGGGCCTAGGTTCAGTTCAGTGCCAAAACTGCTGCTTTACTGGTTAACTCAGTGCACTGAGACATAGAGTAAGGATCGAGAGTTCGAGAAGATCAGATGAGGTAGTTCATAGGTATAAACAAGTGGGTAAAGAGCATTAATGTATTTGTAAAGAAATATCTTCCTGGTGTTATAAGTCAGATTCTTTACTGAGGCATGTGCAAAGATTAACAGGGAGCAGTTGGTGGAGAAGAGAGATATGACTGCACTGGAATTTGTATTCTACACACTTGGTATATGGAAACTTCCCTGTGAATGAATCACCACTGGGAGTACTGTACATTGTAGTAGACATCCATCAGTCACTAGTGAAACGTGAGAAGTCGGAAAGGAAAATATGGGGGAGGACTTGACACTGGTGATCTTCATTCTGTCGACAGCTGGGTGATGGTGATATATGGGGTTATGATGTTACTTAACAGTAGCAGTAATAATGTAGATAGTGATAGTGGTGACAGTGGTGCAGTGTACAATGTCACACCTCCTACCCTGGTGACAGCAAGAGTACACAGGAAATGGTGGTGGCGGGACAGACACAGGAGAAGAGGGGTGATAGGGGTGAGTCACCACAAACACTAACTTGCAGTATCACAAAATTGTCAAAAAAGTTTCATTTTAGAAAGATAATAAAAGGCTGCATATATTTTTTCAAAGGAGATGCCAATTTTTAAATTTGAATCAGTATTTGGGGGTAATTTTCTGCAAAAAAAAAAAAAAAATGAAATGCAAATTAAACATGTTATTTATAAAAATCAATATCGAAATCACTGGTCTGATCAAAACCAGGCAGAGGTTATCAGACAACCACTTAACACTGATCGTAGAATTCCCGGGCACTGTGGGGAGCTATGGGGTCTCTTTTTATTTTCATATGCCTGACATATTTTGTCAGCCGTTATGTCTAACCTACATTACCTTTAGCAGGACAGATATGCTCCCTATCTTAAATGGTAGCAAACCTGGCGGTGTTTAAGTGTACTCAATGTTTTCTGCCTCCCCTCCCATCAAAACATTTTCATGTGTCAGAAGCTGTGAAAAAGAAGCTTAGTTGGCTTAGTTAAGGTTTATGGATAGTGACTGAAATAGAGGTATTGGAATGTGTAGGGTTTCTTTTTAACTTTTAGATAATGTCAGTTAGCCCAGTTTACATCAGACCTGTTCTTAACACATTATAAAGAGACTTCAATTTTTACTTCATTTATTTGCTGGATTCTGCAGCAATTTTTAAAACTTATGTAGTATCACTAGTATTCCAAACTCATATATATCCTTCTTATACTATATATTTTGGACCACTTTCTCTTCACTTGGGGTTATGCCAAGCTAGCAGTTACATGCATCCTTTGCATATTTCCTTCTGGTAAAAATATAATTGAGCATTGGAAGTAATTTGATTACTTGAAACAGATATAACAACTTTTTTAGCCACAAATACAGATTTGAGAGCCACATACACAGATTTCAGAAAACCAGATTTAAAACAGCAAGTTGATTATTAATTTATTTATATTGCTCACTAAAACCCTATTTTTCTGCATATGTCATCTGGGTTTACCTATCTTTCATGTGTATGTTTTGTGACCACCTAAAATCGCCTTAATATTGTGTCTGGGCAAATGCATAATTTAGAAAACTGGAAAAAATGTTTGTTGATTATATATGAAAGTTCATTAACAGTGGAGTCATTAATTGGCACCAGAGCTAGCATGCTGATACAGTCTAAAACAAACAAACAAACAAAAAAAAATCAATGATTTTAACAAGTAATGTTCCAGTAATGTATAATGATAAAATTGCTTTTTGATTGATCTGAAAATAACCGAGTTATCTTAATATTGAGACATTGCAGCTATTGATTGATTTTAGTTTATGTTTAATCCAATTTGCATTAGCTGGCTAAGCATGCCTTCTTTTTACAAATGTTGTGTGTATATGTGAAAATTGAGTATGATCCAAGCTAACATAGATTAAATATTTTACAATTTTTTAAATCCATCAGAATTAAACAAAAGTTATGTGCTTTTGCAGGTACTGCGATTTGTGAATCTGATTCAGCTTCATCTGCTTCCTTTATTTCTATTACACTTACGTATGTTTAGATGTTTTTTAATATCTTGAGACAGAGAGTCTGTCTTTAAACAAACACCACCAACTTCCTTTGTAGTGTTGTGCATTATATTTGATTATACATAAAGAGTGGACAAATGAGTATCACAGCCAGTGTGTTAGGTGAGCTTTGTTTAACTAAGTGAACTGCGAAAATTGGAATGAAAATAATTGGAACTTTTTTTGCAATGAAAATAACTGCATATGTTTTATTTTCATGCTAATTTCTATTATAATGTTCTTGGAAATGCCATGAAAAGGTTGTTTGATGTTTGACTGTGCAGCAAGCTTTCCTAGATGCCATGTTTTTTTTTTTTTTTTATTTTGTTGCTCCAAAATGTTGTAGAAGAATTCATTTTAATGGGTGAAATTTAGAGATTACAGTGATTATAAGAAAACTGAAAAACATTGTCACAAAATAACTGTTTTGATTCATTTACACCAGACAAATTAGACTTAATTAGCAATAATGCTGTACTGGTTTTGATGTTTTGAGAGGTTATGATCATGTCATTATGCTATAGGAAACTTGACAAGGTATACTGTACACTTTTGATTTGTAGATATCCCAAGGTCATATTTTCTTTATCTATAAATCCCGAAAAGCTATTATCTATCTCAATTCAGACCTTAATAGCAATAAAACCCCTCAAAAAAAAGTACCTGATGTTGATATTTCTTTCTGAAATGTACAGAGAGACATGACAATCTAAATGTCTGGCCAGTCATTTAGAACTAAATTATTAGATTAGAAAAGGTATAAAGCATAGTGTACAAATGGGTTAAGCAATGGTTTGTGAAGAGAAAATTCCTTTTTTCCCGAGGAAAATTTAATTTGCTTCAAAAATCTGGGATAGGATACCTTTAAGTGGATCAGTTGGTGATGTTGATTTGGGGGTGGCTCTCTTATTTAATAGCCAGGCCATTAAGTTGTCAATTTCTCAAAAATGT